TGAAACTTGAGTAAAATCCAATAAATGGAAGCTTAAAATATCTTATATTAGTATTATGAACAGTATTATGTGGATGACACAATAGCAATTTTTAATTCAGAGTTTAAAGCGCAAGAATTCTTTAAACATCTCAATAAACAACACAAAAACATAAGATTTACTATGGAAAAAGAAAAAGACAACCAAATTCTATTTTTATATGTTCTTATTAATAAGTCTAATTCACTTTCTACATCAGTTTATCACAAAAAAGCATACATGGGTCTTTTACAAAATTTCTTAAGTTTTGTCCCTTCATGTTATAAAACTGGTCTTATACGTTGCTTGATTAATCGAACATATAAAATTAACAACACGTGGTTTGGATTTGATAAGCATGTAAAAAATCTTTCTTTAGTTTTAAAAAATTTATAAAAGGTGGATTAATTTTTTTTTCAACATATAATTTAATTTCAGTGTCGATATCTTTTTGCGGAAATTGATTATTTTTTAAAACTAAAGAAAGATTTTTTACATGCTTATCAAATCCAAACCACGTGTTGTTAATTTTATATGTTCGATTAATCAAGCAACGTATAAGACCAGTTTTATAACATGAAGGGACAAAACTTAAGAAATTTTGTAAAAGACCCATGTATGCTTTTTTGTGATAAACTGATGTAGAAAGTGAATTAGACTTATTAATAAGAACATATAAAAATAGAATTTGGTTGTCTTTTTCTTTTTCCATAGTAAATCTTAAGTTTTTGTGTTGTTTATTGAGATGTTTAAAGAATTCTTGCGCTTTAAACTCTGAATTAAAAATTGCTATTGTGTCATCCACATAACGTTTATAAAAATTGGTATGGAGGATGAACAATTATTAACCCACATTTATTTATGAAACCCGATAAACATTTTAGCTAAAACTGGCTCAAAAGGAGAACCCATTGCAACGCCATCTAATCAATAATAAAATTTTCCGTTAAATAAGAAATGAGAACCTGACGTTGAAATTTAAAGTAATTTTTTAAAATGAGTTTTAGAAAAATATTTTGAGCGAATTTTATCTTTAAAAAACAATTCTGTTGCTATATTTATAGTTTCATTAAGTGGAATGTTAGTAAATAAGCTTTCAACATCATAAGAAACTATAAATTTGTTAGTTACGCCAACTTGTTTTAAATCTTCAACGAATAAAAATCAGTCAAAAGTGGTATAATGTTTTGGTAAATATGGAGATAATAAATCTGAAAGATGTTTAGCAAGTTTATAATAATATGAGCCAATTGTTGAAATAATTGGTCAAAAAGATGGTAGAGAAGAATCTTTACTAAGTTTGTGCATCTTAGGTAGAGCATAAATTCTTGTTCGTTGTGAACCAACAGGATAAATTTTAATGTAAATATCTTTTTCAAAACATTTCAGTTTTTTAAGTTTTCTAAGAAACCCTTGTAAAGATACTTCTCTTTTTATAGTTGGATCATCTTTTAATTCTTTAAATTTAGTTTTATCACTTATAATATTATTTATAGAATTTATATAGTCAACTTTATTTAGAACAATTATACCATTCCCTTTGTCTAGTCTTGTTATTACGATGTTTTCATTCTTTCTGAGTCTTTTTATTATTTTGTGTTTTCTCAGACAACTTTCAGACAGCGTGTATTTGTAAATATATTAATTTGCTAAATGTAAAAGTTCACTTTTAACTTGAGATTCTGAATCCTTGTTTCAAGGTTGGGTGTTGAGAAATTGTGCAACGCTATCAAATTAAGCAAAAAGTCTGTCTTTTTTATAAATGCTGGTGGTAAAGCAGAGTTAAGACTATTATTCAATAAATCCAGTTCATAGTGTTGTAAAGTGTATGAAGACATATTTTGAATGAAGTTTTTCTTTTTATAAGGAATGCTAGTAAATTTAGTGAGTGAACATAATTTTTTCTCGTGGGTTTTTTTAATTGATTGTTCTTTTTTCATTACAATTATTTTTAATAACCTTTATTAAAAAATACCATTGTAAGGTTAAACAATTATTTCTTACTTGGCACTTTATTTCATCTAATTCTTTTTGCAATAATTTTTGTTCGTTTGATCTTTTATGTAACGCACTATTGAGTCACCATCTTTTTATTGACATTATATCATTGTGATTTGCATGAGGTATGTAAAATCCTAAAATGAGGTATGTTAAATCCTTCTTTAAATAAACAAACATCTGATTACATTATAAATTTATCTATCTAATTTACTATATTATTATTATTATTATTATTAATATATATATATATATATATATATATATATATATATATATATATATATATATATATATATATATATATATATATATATATATATATATATATATATATATATATATATATATATATATATATATATATATATATATATATATATATATATATATATATATATATATATATATATATATATATATATATATATCATATATATATATATATATATATATATATATATATATATATATATATATATATATATATATATATATATATATATATATATATATATATATATATATATATATATATATATATATATATATATATATAAATATATATCTATATCAGGCTTGGTCGGGAAGCAGGTGCGATCGCACTCGATATTTGACCACGGAAATTATGTTTAGTTGTGAAAAGCCGGCCAGATTTTTTAGGCGTTTTGAGAACATTTCAAAAACGAGCAAAAAAGCGCAATAAGATAAACTTGACCGATGAGAGACAGTTAAAAAAAAGAAAAATAGCTTTTAACGCAAAACTTTAAGCAAAATAAATACGATTAGAGCAAATATTTTTGAAACTTTTTTTATAATTTCTTCTTTTATAATTTTTTATAATTTCTTTTTTTATAATTTTTTTTTTTTTAAAAAAGCGACATATTTTGTATATAGTAACAACGTACTTATAATGATTGTTTTAATAAAGAAACAAATGGTCTTTAATTTATCAAAGATTATATATATTATTTTTATTTATATTCTTATGTCTTATTTCCAGTGCTGGAAATAAGAGGTGGGGGGAGGGGGTAGAAGAGCTATAGTCCCGGAACACACAATGTTATGGGCCGAGAAATAGTCAAGAGGACCTATTGGTATTTTTAAGTCATTTTTACGCTGTCGCACATAAGAAAGGCCACCAAAATAATGCAGCCCCCGGCTTTGTAAAGTCCAATAAGATTAAGCCAGTAAAACTAACGCTACATAATTTAATTATAAATAAAAAAAGTTTTTTCAGTACCTGTTTTATGCGTTCGCGTAGTTTGAAAAGTTTAACATATTTGAAACAATTCTTCTTAGTAAGATGGACAAATGAAATAACAAAATCATTGAGTTACTGTGGAAATTTAATTAGCTAGATAGAAATTAACTAAAAACATTAAATTACTTTGTAAGGAGGAAGCGGAACTGCTTAACAATATCGCTGATGATGTTTAGTGAGTGGGCTTTATATCTTTAACTAGTATTTTACAGAGAAAAAAAACTTTAGGTGTAAGTATAACGAGTTTGTAAGAATGGCTGAAGCAAAAATAATTGAAGTTAATAAACCAATTTCTAATACATTACATACATATAAATACATCCCTTATATATAAAAAATAAGATTATACTAATTAAATTCATAATATATTTACAAAACGTTGACAAGTTAAAAAATATAAATTTTAAACATTTATTTTTATTTTGTAAACAAATGTTAGTTTAAAACATTTGTAGCTATATGGATGTGACTCCGAGAATGAGCCATTGTATTAAAATAATTGTTCGTTTGATAGTATATTCTTAAAACAATTGATGCTAGAATTCTTAACGAAAACATAACAAAAACAAAAAAAAAAAGATTTTGAAAAATAATTCAACAGAATACTCGAGAACAGTCGCTTGAATTCTTTAGTAATTTCAGTTATTTATTAATTGAACCAATAGAACTAGTTGTTCGTAAATTTGGCGGGTTTTTTGTGTTCGCGAATATTCTTTATTTATTTTTCCGCACTAAGATGTTTGACAACATTCAAGTTTCCATGTACGTCCGTAAAACAAAATCTTTTAAAATTTACGATAAAATGAACTTATTATTATGCGGACAAACAAGGAAACATACATAAACTGAAATGTTCTCAAAACGCCTAAAAAATCTGGCCGGCTTTTCGCAAGTAAAATATAATTTCCGTAGTCAATTATTGAGTGCGATCGCACCCGCTTCCCGACCAAGCCTGCGTATATATATATATTTATATATATGTATATATATAAATATATATATATATAAATATATATATATATAAATATATATATATATATTTATATATATATATATATATATATATATATATATATATATATATATATATATATATATATATATATATATATATATATATATATATATATATATATATATAAATATATATAAATAAATATATATATATATTTATATATATATAAATATATATATATATATATATATATATATATATATATATATATATATATATATATATATATATATATATATATATATATATAAATATATATATATATATATATATATTTATATATATATATATATATATGTATATATATATATGTATATATATATATATGTATATATATATATATATATATATATATATATATATATATATATATATATATATATATATATATATATATATATATATATATATATATATATATATACATATATATATATAATAACTGCAATTTTTCTTTCTCTGTTTTTTTTTTTAACTAGAAAAATCTAATCATAAAATACACAAAAACAAAACAGTCAGAGGTTTTTTAAAATTTGTTTTGTAACATAATTAATTTGTATAACTAAAACAATACATTTGTTTTTAATAAGTTAGTCCTTCAAGTTTAAAATTTCTACCCTCAAGAAAGTTTTACACACTTTTAAATAGCTCACCGAATAAGTTTTTTGTATAAAAAAGGTGACTACATTAAAAAAGAATTATTACCTGAACATTCATCTTGAAAACTGCAATCTTTTTTTTGTTCAACTGCAGCTCCTGTACAATTGCCATCAATAGCTGTGTTAAAACAAGTACAAACACTTATACTTGATATTGTCTCATTTAGTTGACAGATTTTAGTACAACTACTCCATGAACTCCATTCGCTTAAACTGTCTAATATAAGTAAAAAAAAAATGATGTCTAAACAATAAAACAATAGAACGCATTTTCTCAGTTAATATGGCTGCAAAAATAAAAGTAATTTTATCAAAATTATTTAGTGATGTTAATATAAATAATTTTGAGATAAAGTTTAAAAGTAATATAATTTGATATAAGCAAAGCTAATGATTGTAAAATATTTAAGAAAAAAAAGGAATAATGAAAAAAAAATAAAGAGATGGATAGATACAATACCATTGTAACAGCATTTTATAACATCAAAATTGACATCAGCTGTAGACACTGAACAATTACGACTTCTTTTAAAATAATCTCTGTAATTGTTGGTCCATTCACCCCATGCATTCCATTCAACAAGAACACCTTTAAGATAAATAGAATAAAATAAAATAAAAATAAAAGTAAAGAAGCTTTATAAATTTTCTAATATACTTTTAAAATTCAAAACATCAACTTTAAACAAGAAAATTTTACAAACAATGAGAGAAAAAAGAACAAAAGCCTCAAACCTGCTTAGCATGGTAAAACTGGTAAAACTGATATAAAAAAATATATTCCCTATATAAATACCATATTAGATGATCAAGTAGATCAATTTGAGCTTTTTTTGTAAAACATCAAAATTAAACAGACAAATATAAATCTCTGAAGATTTATTTTTGCCTGAACTGACACAACTTTCAAAAATGGTTTCATTCCTTGTTTTTTTAATGAGTGCTATAATACACGCTTTAACATTTTATATAGCATGAAATCCATTTTAACTTTTTGAGCAAAATCTACAGAATTTTATAATTTCAACATTTGGAAACTTGCCAATTAAATTAATAATTAAAATTAAAAATTAATAAAAATTATAAATAATAATAAAAATTAAAAAACTATTTTATATCATAATTATATGAAGAAATTAAAACTAAATCTTTCTAACTTAAAATATGGTAAAGAAATGTAAATTTTCAGAATAGTAACAAAATCACTCATTTCAATATCATAAATTCAGCTAAGTGCTGGTAATTTGATATCATATTATCGATGTTAATCTACCTCTCATGCAACAAAATATATTTAGAAAATATTATATATTTAGATAATTTAATAATATTATATATTTAGAAAAGTAACTACAATTTTGATGTTACCCTCGCTACATTGAGCAGTAATAGATGTTCATTGGGATAGAAAAGAAAATTATTATTTTATAAAATATGTATCAAAGAAGTTTTTCTTTAAGCTTCCTCTATTTACTTATAGTAATGTATAATATTTTAAATATATTAATTGCTAGGATTATAAACTAGAATATGTAATCTTGTTTTAAGTTTTGATGTTATATACAAATATACAGTGTGTCGCAATTAGTCTCATGCTGATACACTTATTTAGTTGACAATCACAAAACTTAGTAAAAAATATAACTTTAAAAAATAATATATTTTTAAAATAGTTTAAAATGTTTTAAAGTCTTTTAAAATATTTTAAAAAAGTTTAAGAAAACTTTAAAATTTCTCTTTGATACTCCCATTTCTAATAATCTGATTAGGCAAAAAATATATTTTTGTTAAACTTTTTTTAAGCCATTTTTTTCTAATGTGTATTTATAATGCGGTAGTGGTGTAGTGGTAAAACAATCGCTTCATAAGCGAGAGGTTCCGAGTTCGATCCCCACCACGTCCCTGGTAGTACCGCGCTCAACTTGTTTCTCCGCGGAGCGGCCTTGTTCGTCAAGGTTCGTGTTTCGGAGTAATAGAGTTGAGAGAGGGCTATAACCACAATTAAGTAGCCTCCTCGTCTGTAGTGGCCTTCTCGGCCTTGGGGAGGTGAATAACAAAAAAAAAAAAAAAAAAAAAAGTAAAACTTTCTTTTTGAAGCCCCTTTTTTCTTGATCAAATCCTTGTTTTAAAGTCATTTTCTTATGCAAAATTTTTTTTATTGCCATTTTTTACTTATCTAAAACTTATTTTTTTCCATCATTTTCTTTTTTCATGTAAAAACATTTAAAATGTTTGTGTTTAGTTATTTAACTCATGTTTCTTATATTAAATTGGTCACTAAACATCCATTGCTCACTTGTATGGATTGAGAAAGTTGCCATGACATTTTTAAGTTGAATACAAAACATGGTGGTATTGACATATTTTGCAGATCAGGACTAAGTTTTGTTGTTGTATACTATCACTAAAAGGATTACCATAAAAGTACCTCCTACCTTTACTCACAACTAAAATAAAACTTTTTAAATAGAGTTTACTGTCTCCTATGTAGGTTACCTTTACCATAACTGAGAAGTCTTTAATCCTCCAATGCAAAATCAGTTTAACTCAATTATCAAGATAATTAGCTTTACTTGTCTAAAAAGACTCTGAGAAAAAGTAAATCTATACTTTTCTGTTTTAACTCCAATATAATTGTTTTAAATAATTAAAATTCAGATGTTGTTTATTTTTAATTGTTTTTAGTTGTTTTTCTATCACACCACACAGTATGTAAAAATGTTTTGCTGTATATGTTTTTAGTTTTTTATAGTATAAAGAACAAAAAAAAACAACCCAAAACCACTTTTTAAAATAACAGGTTGTTGCCAGTTTAGCCCTTTGAGGACAGAGGGACATTTTGTCCCATCCATTTTATCAGCTTGCCGCATACCCATTAGGTCAAAATGCTTTCAAATTCAATTATTTTACATTAATGCAAAATTGTTTTTTGTAATAATGTTATTTGACCATTCTCAGAGTTTCAGGATAAATAAACAGCATGGTGTATTTGATTAACATGTGATTAAAACGATGATTTATTTTAGCCGTTTTTTAATAGAATTTAACTAAGAAATGCCACCCTCCCCTAACCCCGTGAATCAAATACACCTCCGCCATGGTTTTAATTAAAAATAATTGCAAGCTTTGAAGCCTAAAAAAGCTCTTCTCTTTTATAAAAATATCAAAAGACTGTGATAAAATGTACTTTTCACTTCAAAAAGGAAGAGGTCTGGCTTTTTTCGCTACAAACATTTATATTTTATGATACCACAAAATTTATCATTTTAAATTTTTATTCTTTTCATAATTCACAGACCAGACCATTCCACGGAAATATGTCGTAGTCATAGAGACGCTATAATATTTTAAACGTGCCTTAATTACACCGAGCAGTTTTAAAAGGTTAACGGTAGTTATATATATATATATATATATATATATATATATATATATATATATATATATATATATATATATATATATATATATATATATATATATATATATATATATATATATAAATATATATATAAATATATATATATATATAAAATATATATATAAAAATATTTTGCTCTTGTAAGTAATTAGCAAAAGTTTGAATTTTAACATTTATGACTGACAGTACACCATTTATCTTCTTTTTTATATATGTAGACTGCTAACAGACACTATTTTGTCAGAATACAGCATGAATTGTCTAAAGAAGAAAAAAAAGTTTAAAGAGTTGACAAGTCTATGCTACACTGTCACTGGTATTCTTATTAGCTTATTAATGTGTTTGATTAATTAAAAATTAAAAATTTTTTTATTTTAAAAAAATTAATTTCTTTGGCTATGGAACATGACATGTATTCAAGTGTATGTATACATGACATGTATTTTTTTTTATAATCTTTTTAAAACATGTTTTGTTATTTTTATTAGAAGCTGCTTTAAAGTCAAATAAAAACTTAACTAAAATGGATGCCATTTTGGTTAAGTTTAAGGAAAGTGATTAGGCATTCTTCTGACCGAATAAATAGAACATCCACTAATATGGATTTCGATCAATTATGGCTTAACTAACTGTTGTATATATTTTTTTTTTTTTTAAAGCAATTTTCTATTATTTATAATGCACTATCGATTATATTCTACAGTACCTATTAGTTTTTAATTTGAAAAATGTAACTTTGTTTCAAAAATTTTTTCTTATTTTTTGTAAAGTTAATAATTTATTTTAAATATATCAAACTACACTTTATTTACATTGATTTTTTTTATAATTTCCTTGCCTAGATTAAGGCATATCTAAAGTTTGTGTTGTAAATCATTGCATTTTTATATATATTTTTAAAAGAATGTCTTGGTAAAATTCAAACCTCTCTAGGGCGTCTGAAAAAGACGTTCTTAAGTCTTAAAAATTAGACCAGCCAGAGATGTCTCTAGAACGTCAAAAAACGTCTCTAAGACGACTTAAAAAGACGTCTTTAAGACGTCTGGAATAGACGTCCTCAAGCCTTTTACTAAGGATGTCTTACAGACGAGACTTAAGACGTCTTACGGACGTCCTTAGGACGTCAAAATGCCCGCAATATATATATATATATATAAAAACCCCCAATATATATATATATATATATATATATATATATATATATATATATATATATATATATATATATATATATATATATATATATATATATATATATATATATATATATATATATATATATATATATATATATATATATATATATATATATATATATATATATATATATATATATATATATGTATATATATATATATGTATATATATATATATATATATATATACATATATATATATATATATATATATATATATATATATATATATATATATATATATATATATATATATGTATATATATATATATATATATATATATATATATATATATATATATATATATATATATATATGTATATATATATATATATATATGTTTGCAAACTAACAAAACTATTAACATGCAAGTGACTTCTTATTTAATTGCAAAATAGTTCTGCAGAAAAAAACTTTTTCTGACTTAACGCTTGTTGTTTATTCGTCATAAAAAAAACATTAATTTTCTAAAGACTATCACCCTGAGTACCATCACTTTCAAACAAAGACAATGACACGGAAGAATGAATCGTATAAGTAATAACTTTCTCAAATTCCACGAAGTATTAGATTTTAACAAAGTAAAACTTAATTGCAGATCAAATCATATACATGGTAAACATTTTTTTAACTCGGTGTCCTTCCGTGACAATAAATGTGTATCTTTTCGTGACAATTGAGGACTTTTTGTTCCTTTTTTTATTCAGACCATAACTAATTAAATAATGAGAAAACTTGGTTCACAAAGACAGGATAATAAGAAATATCTTAGAAAAGAAGAAAACACCTAATAATGAGAAATATCTTAGAAAAGAAGACAAAATAAGAACCTTTGAGGAAAAAAATGATGGAAAGAGAGTTAAAAAAGAAACAGGTGATAATGTTAATATAGTATTTTATCTTTAATTTCAACTTTCTAATTGGAACCAGTTTTGCTTTTAATTAAAACTTTGCTATTTATTTCAATTTTT